GCTGCTGCGGCTGCAACTCGGCGCTTTGAGCCGGAACCGCCGGTGAACTTGGGCGCCACGTTCCTCGTGAGAGAGCCCGGAGGATGGTGAACGCCAGCTGCTGCTGACCTGCCTCCGCCGCTGCTTCTCGGGGGCTGCCGAGCGCGGGGGCCCCCGTCTCCTTCCCGTGCCCGGCCGTGGGTGAACCTGCAGGCTCCTCACCCACCAGAGGACTTTTTTTTGAAAGGAAACGAGGGAGGGAGGGAGAGGGAGAAAACGAAGGGGAGCTCGTCCATCCATTGAAGCACAGTTCACTATGATCTTACTCACATTCAGCACTGGAAGACGGTTGGATTTCGTGCATCATTCGGGGGTGTTTTTCTTGCAAACCTTGCTTTGGATTTTATGTGCCACAGTCTGCGGAACGGAGCCGTATTTCAATGTGGAGGTAAGAGTGCAAGGGCTTTCTTCCTCCCCCCTTGCCTGGGCTGCTCCCAGAAACATTTCCTTCACTCCTCAGATTCCCATAGCTCCTAGCAGCCCGGGGTCTCAACACATTGTTTCCCTTCCAGCCGCTGAGACCCTGCTCGAGTTTCCCTGTGGCTGAGGTGATGGATGCGCGTGAGACCGAGAATCCGTTATCCCAGGCAGCACAAAGCACGATGCTGCGCGCTGGGACACAATTGTAGCCGGTCCATGCTTTTCGCCCAGGGAAAAGAAGTCCTGCATATAGCAAACGTGTAGCTAAATAAGGCAGCTTGAGTTTATGATGAATAAACAGCTCGGGGAAGACAGAATTAATTGGTTGGCATCATGTGCTGCCCTTGGTATTGTTCCTGAAGTCTTTCTCCCCGTGTTTGGTGCCTAACAAAGGAGGTTAAAAGCAAAGCATCTAGAGGAGAGCGTGGGAATACTTGATATGTTTAATAACATTACTTTGTGATAAAACACTTGAGTAGATAGCGTCTTTTTCTCATTTAGGCATCACTTAATACACTGTAACTGGATCTGGCTACACAGAGGACATGAAATCTATACCTTTTTAAGTGTCTTCTCTCCCCCTCCCCCTCCAATTGAAAATAAACGTGGCCCAATGTTATAGTTCTGAGTTGTGTTTTTAATTTGATTTCACACGCTCATGGCAAAACGGAGAGGTTTTAGACGGTCGTTTGCTTTACTTTGATAGCTTTGGGAACTGACAGCACAAGCCGAAAAGGGAACTGAAGGAGAAGGACTTGTCAGACCTTTGCCAAAGTACCCTTCCTGTCATCAACTCAGCACAAAAGCCAGTAATGTGCAGTAAATCAATGAAAGCGTGTATACACCTGGGCTGTAACACAAGTTTATCACATTCACGGTGGGATACAAAGACAGTAAGAAGGTCTTAGTGACATTTGCACCCTTTAATCAGATCTGATGTCTTCTGACATCCCAAAATAATTATGATTAATTCTCTAGGGAATAATGCGATTTTTAAATGTTCATATTATAAAACTTACTGTCATTTTGTAGGGAGTGTGTGTTTATACAATAGCAGGACCTGTTGCACAGTATTTGAACATGCTTGATGTAACCAATTTATATACAGAGTGAGCATAATAAATGCCATGTGTGAAAGCATATTCTGAATATAACTGTTTATATAAACTGTTCTTAGGACTCCATGTAATAAGTGATGGTTGGTACAGAAACAAAGTATTTGAAAAAGTCAGAACCATTATTAAAAGTGCTAGAGACCTTTACAGATGTTAAGTATGAATAAATTACACAAAAATCCAACTTTACGACCAAAAGGCATAACCCTTTGAAAAAGACAACTTTGTTTTTTTGAATAAAAAGAGAGAAGGGAATGGAAAGTCCAGATTTGTCTTGATTGCAATTTGAACTTTTGGAATTATATGCCACAGATGGATTTTTGTACCTAACATTTAAATCAAGAGAGAGTTTGATGTTGAAATGAAGAAATAATTAGTTCATAGGCTGGAGGGATGAAAGTGGCAAGCTGTTATTTATAATGTTACAAGCAGAAGGACCTATTGCTTCAGATTGGTAGCAGTGGTGATGGGGGGTGGGTGGTAAAAGTAAGTGTTAGGTTGTATCTTACTATGGGAAGGAGAGCCTGGATTGATGGCTACCTGCTTTGGGAAATTCTTAGATTTGCTCACAGAGATTGGGATAACATCAGTTTTGATGATTATTAGGTTTCTTTTGTGAGACTAAATATAAGTTTGATTGTATTTCTTTATATCGGAATCCCTCAGTTAATTCAATCAGATATTATTTTGCAAGTAAAAGTTATGATATTACTAAAAACTTTTGATTTAATTTTGAATTCTAATGACCTCTTTTTTTCATTAAGATGTGTGTATAAAAATGGTTTTTGGAGAAAAGATTTATTGTTTCATTTCTAGAGTATTTAAGTTATACTATCCATATTTATTGCACAGACTTAAGTATGGAAGATAAAGATTCATATGCCATCTCAGACCTTTAAAAGCTTACTTGATACAGAGGAATTTTTTAAAATAACTTAGAGTAATTTATATGCCATGCTTTGTGTTATTCCCAAATAGTTTTTTTTAAGCTTTTGAGCACTTCCTTGGTTGCATTTATAAGCTTTATGTGTAATAATAGTCCCCCCGCCTTTTAGGTTATAAGAGTAGCTCATAGTAAAATCAAAATATCGTAAAGTACATAGAATGACAAGATGTTTCCTGACATGAATTTCTGCCTGATTCACTTTTATTAGATGTTTCTTTTTGGTAGGAAATGCTGATGGGAAGAATAGTCCATCACTTCCTCTCTAGAAGAGGCACTTATATTGTGTTCCTCATTCTGTTTGCAAAACGTCCACACTGGGAATGTTTTATTTGTTAATTCTCAAGGGCAGTCTTAAAATAAACAGTAATGTTATCAAATGTGCATGAAGCTCCTATGATTATAAATTTTTTTTCTAGCGAGCACACCAAGTTATTACAGTTGGAACAAAGCTGGAACAAAGCTTCAGAGAGATGTTTTGTATGCTGTCAACTAAAATTACAATACTTTGTCACTGAACTTAATAATTTGTGGTACTCCTAGCCTTTTCATCTCTATGATTTAGTGTTTAAAACCCTATATTTTTCTGAGTGGGAGGAAAGAGGGCATTGAGTAGAGGCATTCAAGTTAACACATTCCTGTCTAATTTTGAAGAGTATATTTGAAATTTTGAATGATCAGAATGAGAGATATTTTTCAATATAGTGATGAAAGCCTCTTACCAAAAAAGTACACTTGGTTTTATTTGTGTGTTTGTTTTGCCTTCGTTTTTAAAAAGCAAAAGAGAACATCTTTTACAGCTAAGAAAGGGTCAAACACTACCAAGAATAGTACTATGGAAGAGATACATTACTTTTATTTCAGGTGAAAAAAATCTTATGTTAAGTTTTCAGTATATATTCATTTAGGTAAAGATTTTTGTGTATAATTGGGTCTCATTTTTTAGAGTGGGTCTTTCAGTGTGTAATAATTAGCATGCTGCCAAGGAATATTTCAAATATTAAATAAAAGTCAAAAACTGTTATCATTGGGCAGCAGTCTGAAACAGAGGTATTCATTGGTCAAAAGAAGCTAAATTATTAACAAAGCATTATGACTTAATATCTACTGTCTTAAAATAATTTTGTATCTAAAATAGTTATCTTGTGGTAGGGATTTTCATAATCCTGTCACTTTCTTTTATATGCTGCAAACATTTTTTATTATGAAATTTGAGACAGAATATAGTTTGTGACAGTAACAATTCTCATCATCAACTTTGATAGTTTGTCAAATGTTACATTTGTGAACAATATATTCTTTACTGATTTTTTTAAACAATAGCACATTTCCAGTGAGGAAAAAAAATTTAATCCAATTTAATGGTAAGATAAAAACCTGTGAATTATGCATATATCAAAACATAAGATGATTACTCTTTTGTGGCAAAAAATTTGATAAAGTAAAAATTGATTTCGTTGTTCCTAATTAAAGAAGAAATATTCTAGATTTCAAATAGATCTTTTATGACAATTATTATGAATTATGAGTGTTACTATTTCTTAAATTTTTCTCGCAGTATGTTTACTTAACTGATTTAGGATTTATTCACATTTGTCAAGTTTGTCTGAATACCTGAAAGATCAGAATTTGCTTTGGGTAGCTTTGTATTATATAAAAACTTGACAATAATTGGTTATGAGATATTTCAGAACTAAAAATTATACTTTATAGATTTTAAAATATCTGTTGAAATTCTCTTTTTCTTATCTCTTGTTCTCCATTTGCTTTATCAAGACATGTTATTTCATGTGCTCATGGAAGCAAAGTGATCTCATGCCTTCTTGACTAAGGACTTTCCTGATTACATCTCCTAATTCCCACTGTAGTAGTTTATAACTGGTCAACACCAGGGGTTGTGTGGCTGATTCATAACATTTTTACCTACTGCAAGACTGCAGGCTTAACAAAGCATCTCAAATATGCCAGCCATTCAAAATGCTCCTAAGGGCCAAACCTATGACAAGAAGACCAGAAGGCTTAATAGTCCTAAAGTTCTCCAGCTTTTCCTACGTGCCCCACTGTGTAGGACATATGCCTTTCTCTGTTCATAGTTACCTGGGAGGGTTTTGTTCAGATCTAGGGGTATACATGAAATCCTTACATATGAGCATGTGCTGTCTAGGTGCATTTTTTCCTCTCATTCCTCCTGAATCCGCAGAGAACAACAGTCCAGGTCCTTACAGTTGGGTTTTCTCTTTGGGTCTTTTCTGTATCCAGTTGGGTTCAATAACAGCTTTCCTATCTTGGGAGTCAGGTAGGAAATGACAGACCAAAAGTTTATATTTTTTCCTAATTAAGGTTATTAACATAAGTTTTATTTTTTCCCCGTCATAGTCTCATTCTGTCTCCCATGCTAGAGCACAGGAGCACTATCATTGCTCACAGTAGCCTCGATTTTCAGGTGATCCTTTTGCCTCAGCCTTCTGAGTACCTAGTACTACAGGTACTGCCACCCTGGCCTCCCAAAGTACTGGAATTACAGGCATGACTACTGTACCTGGCCAAGATAAGAAAATTTTAATTGCACTTGTTCAGTGGTAAATTCTTCTGAAGTTGTATTAATCAATTATTTTATGTAAATTTATCTCACTGACTGACCCTTTCCAGTTACTCAAAATGTACCTGTTCAGAATATTTGGTAGACGGTTAATTGGAATTATTTTGGAACAACGAAAAATGAAAAAACACTGAACATTTGAGTTAATGGGTTAAATTTGTTCAGTGTTGGAAGAGAAAGATTTACTTATGCATGCTCCTTCAGGAACTTTTTGACCTTTAGCATATATATTTGAAATTGAGAAAGTTTTCATGTTACTTTCCATCACAATTTACTTTCAGTGTTTGTGAATTAAATTGCATCCATCAACT